TTCGAGACTGTGAACTCTTGACTGGAGTAGAAAGCCTCATCTTTCTCCCAGGGAGTGGTGGGTGGTTTTGAACTGTTTGGACTGTGGTTAGCAGCCCGATGCCTAACCCACTATGCCATCGGGGCTCTTGTCAATCCCTCAGCCCCCCCCCACCCCCCGCCTTTTCTGATCTCCGATGTATTCCTCCACTAGCAAGGCAGGATCTGATCTGGGCAGCTGTCAGTCACCAGTCAGTGCCATCCGAAATCTGTGGGCGCCGGTGACTGAAAAAGGGAAAGCCGCGGAGATCAGGTGCATGTCTGATTCTCCTGCCACCTTTGGGACCCGCCCCTGATTGCCTAGTGTCTTGTCTGGAGAACTCGTTCTAATCAAGCAAGGCTCTCAGATGCTTGCAAGGCATGATCATTTAAAGGCTGTGGCTCATCAGGCTTGACACAAAGGGGAAGAGAATCCGCCCCCCGTGTCCCGTCCCCTTAAATCATCTGAGCATCAGCTTGAATGAGTTTCATCATCATCATCATCTCTTTAATACCATTGTGAATTAAGTGAGGGTTTACCTCTCAGATCGTAATTTTCGTATTCACCGTTTTAAACAATTGGTCCAACCTCCTTGCAGCTTGCTCTGTTTAGGGTCCCCCGTCTCCTATCTTCAGTGTATGTTCTTCCTGCCACCAAAGGGAGCACCAGCCTGCCCTCTGCCTGTTGCTTCCCTTCCCACACCTGGTCACCATCAAAGTCGAGTTCTCTGGGAATGCAAACCCTTTCTTTATAATTGCTATTTTTTAATAACAGCGGCCTCATACAATATTTGTCCCTTTGTTTCTGACTGACTTCGGTCAGCAGAATGTTCTCCAAGTCCCTCCGGGCCACCGTTCATCGTTATTCTGTAGTAACGCGTAGCATCCCATTGCCAAGCTCCATTTGTGCCCATGCTCGTCCCTGTGTTGTATTTGCCTTCATCTCATTTCATTACACTACCGTTAGCTGGAACAGCCGGCCCCATCTTACTAAAATCACCTTTCCCTGCTTAGAGCATCCAGCTTTCTGTCAGGTCCCACCCTAGTTGAATTAAAGTAGGTTAGGTTACACATCGCAGTTAATGAGATTCTTTTTGCATGTGGATAGCTTTTCCCTGAGGAAAGGTGAAGTAATGGTATTTTTTTATAAGAGGCAGGAAGAGAAGGGAGGATTGTAGAGAATAGTTTCTGCATTGAGCCAATTAGACGGGAAAGACCAGGTTCATGCAGAGCAAAAGAACAGCTCAAAGTGCAGGAAGAGGCACCTCTTGCCTTCCACCTAGGTTACAGTGAATGATATACAGTGAATGACGTTTCCAGTGGGGTTTGTTTGTTCGTTTTTCTGTAGTTTGGTGTTTTTTGATTCATTTCTGCAACATTTCCTGAAAATAAAGAACCACTTCCCAACTGCAAGCTCGGGAATTCAAAACCACAAGCTGGCCCATGGAAGGAAGACGAGGCTTTCTGCTCCCATAAAGAGTTAACAGTCTCTGACAGGCACAGGGGCAGTTCTACCCTGCCAGGTAGGGAAAGTCGCTGTGAGTCCGCATCCACTCCTTGGCAATAAGAATGCCAGCTTAAGTGTTGTTTCACCAAGTGGCCAGAAGGGGCCACTAGAAGGCATGTTTCTCCCTGGAGAGTGACTTGACTGATTCAACCCAAGGAAAAGATTATTCCTTTGCTGGGCTGAAGGGTCCAGCCATCTGCTGTGGGTTCCAATCAAATCTGAAAAAATAAAATCTTTGGGGCCTCTCTTATTCTTCCAGACATGAATGCAAGCCAAAGGGGTTAAAAGTAGAGAGCCGCGGTTTTGCTAGCCAGGTGCATTGCCCTCACCTGCATTGTGGTCTCCTGACCGGTCTCCTGTTGACTGCTGACGCCTTTGGCCGGTGTTGCTCTGCCCTCAGGTTGGCGCTGTTGAAGAGGAGTGGCGAGGAAGACTGGAAGAACAGACTGAACAAGAAGCCGGAGTACAGCAGAGCGTCGGTCTGCAGCAGCCTGCAGATTCAGGACGCAGCGGAGCAGTCACTCACAATGAAGGTAAAGCTTCCCGTTAGGCGGCGGCCCCCTGCCTGACTCGGCCATGGCATCAAAGGGACAAGCATGCATAGTCTAATCACCCACGTAGGCAGCATCTGCACTTTAGGGCATTCAAGTGCATGCTTAAAATCACTGCCGCTTAAGCAGGTGACAAGGATCACAAGTAAAGTCTTGAGATCCTCAGCCCCACCTCCATAAGGCATCAGCAAACCCAAACCTGCTTTTTTGCCCCCAAGAAGGCCTTCTGAGCAAGGGACATTTAAGGTGTTACAGAAGGCTCCCTGATGAAACTCCCCTTGAGCAACTAATGGTTTGGAAATTGCATATGAAATAGGGACTTGCTTTCAGGAGGCAGATGCTTAAAACCTCAGGGCGCAAAATAAATCCCTAATGGCATCCAGAGAGTGCTTACTTCGCTCCCATTTCCAAGTATGTTTGATGATGGGCGGGTTTGTTTCCCAGTGAGAGACTTCGCAGGAATACACAGCATGTATTTTTATTTTGTAAGTTTAAAGAGTATTAAGTAAGACACCAGTGTCAACTCTAGCACACATTTCATGGCAAAAGCAGGGTGAGTTGCTAATACAATAATGACCAGAAGGAGCCCCAGCCATGACACCTTGGGCTGCTAACCCCAAGGTCAGCAGTTCAACAGCGCCCCCCCCCCCCGCCCCTCAGAGGGGGACGACGACTATGAGAGGCAGTGTGCCCTGAAAGATTTACAGCCTCAGAAACCCTGTAGCAGGTGGCTGTGAGTTGGCGTTGACTTGATGGCAGTGGGGTTTAGCTTTAGAATGGTGACCAGCTCTTGACCATTTGCAAGCTGCCCAGCTGGTTTCTCTGTCCACGGCCCAGCTGTGACCGATGATGGACTTGTCAGCGGGAGACAAGTAGGGTGCCTGTGACCCTGCTGAGGCCAGTGTCTAAGATTAAAAGTCTTTAAATAGAAAACACGAATAATAGAAAGGCACATCCAACCAAGTGACTCCCCTGGCCCCTCCAAGTTCTGACCAAGGTGGAGCATCTGTGGAAGAGAGAACTTGGGGGCTCAACCATTAGGAATCGGGAACCCGTACATGCTGAGGTTTGCAGATGAGAACGAGAGACAGAGAGAGTTTGGGCGCTGTTTCAGGTTCCATGTGGTCCTGTTGTGTCTCTAGAAGTTCAATCGAAGCATCGATTTGAATTTGAGGCGGTTTTTGTTTTTGAGACAGACTGTACCTAGTATTAAAGACAGTGACACAGACGTTTTCATCCTCAGCCATTTGTGTGTGTATATATATATATATATATATATATATTTTTTTTTTTTTTAAGTCGAATTGCATGTGACATTTGCATTTCCAGATTGGCTGCCAATGTTACTGAAAAGTGGGTCCCCCATGTCGGGTAGCCCCACTGCTCACAAACTTTTATTTTAAAAAAAAATCTTAATTCACTGACTCCAAAATACCTTTCACATGTTCCGTTCACCTCAGTTGCGCACCCATCAGCCGGCGTGTCACATCTCCCTTGGCAACTGCGGTGGGTGGATTGGGTTGGGAGGCCACCTTGTTGGTCTTCGTAGGAGACAGAGAGGTTGTGGAGATTAAGCAAAAGAGCCCAAAGCAAAACAGAATCCTGGAGGATGGAGCCGTGGCATGAGGGCCCCTTCTACTCAGCACAGGGAGGGACATTTTAGTCTGTGGGAACCAGGAGGCTGGGAGGAGAACGGAACTGCCAATCCCATTGGGTTCCTGGGCCCTGCAAAGGATGAAGCCAACCCCACGACTCACCACAAGATTGGCAGTTCAAGCCTCCCCCAAGGGGTCTCAGAAGACAGCCCAGGCAATCTGTTTGCAGAAGGTGGTGTCAGCCTGAAAACCCCAGGGAGCAAATTGTGCTTCTCTGTAAACATGGGGACAAGGGCAGGGGCGCCTTGAGTCAGCAAGGTTGTCGGACCAGAGAGGAGCAGCGAGCAGCATTCTGGTAATTCCGAGCTGCCTTCTGGGGGAACCCCTGGGGGTTAGGGGGCACAGGCGCTCTCCGCTTCTGCTGAGCAGGGAATCTCTGCGGACTCGCTCTCCCTCCTGCTCCTCAGTGGCCTAGTTCACTTTGGCCAGAGACAATAAGCACGCTGAAGTTAAAATAAGCCGGGGCTATTTTCGGCTGTGGTGGCAGACGTGGGGGTTCTCGAGTACTGTGGAGGTCAAGTGGTTTCAGAGCGCCCCAGTAATCCCTGGGCCTCGTGCCCTCCCGAGGGCAGGCAGTGGGTTCATCACGCTTTCGACGTTGGACGCCTGTCAAGAGTCACCGTCTGGGAAACTCACAGGGCCAGTTCTACTTTGTCCTGCGGGTCACTATGAGTCGGCATCAACTCGATGGCAGGGAGTTCAGTTTGGTTTTTATTTAGCTGTACTCCTAAGGACCCCGACTGGCACTGTGCATTAGATGTTGCGCTGTTAACTGAAAGATGGCCAGTTCAAATCCACCAGCTGCTCGGAAGGAGAAAGATGAGGCTGTCCACTTCCGTAACAACTTACAGCCTCTGAAACACTGCGTAGGGTCTCTATCCATTACATCGATTCAATGACAGTGAGTGGGTAAAGTGCCTTAAGCCTGGACGGTGTTAAGACAAAGGAGCCCCCAGTAGCACTGTGGGCTAGACATTAGGCTGCTTACTACAGGATTGACAGTTCAAACCCACCAATCACTCCTTAGGAGAAAGATGAGCTACTTGCTTCCCTAAAGACTGACAACCACTGAAGACTTAAGAAGCAGTTCTACTCCACCCAGTAGGGTCTCTGTGGCTTAGTTTGGGGGTCTGGGTGTTAAAGTGATCCCTAACCCTCTGGGAGGAGGTACGCTCAGGATGTTGGTGCAGGCCGTGGGACCTCACTCCTTGGAGCGGGTCTAGACTTGCTGCGACACAAGTAGGATGTGAACATGTAGGTAACCTGACATCTGCTGGTAGCCTGATCTTTAAAAAACAAACAAACAAACAAAACGAGTGTCCATAACATTTTAAAGTAATCGGATAGCATCATCTTTCCACATTCAGCAGAACCTGTGGGAGCTGGAATTTGCCAGGACCGCCCCATTGTCCCTGGTCTCCCACGTTTAACACCCTTTGGTGGAATGGACTTGCCCCTTTCCTGTTACTTTGTATTCAGCGGGAAAGATGTGCATTTTTCTGCTCTGGCAGGTTTCTTTCTGAGAGCCAGGTTCCGGCTTCCACAGGTCTTGCTCTATCCCCAGTCTACAAGGATATGTGATAGGTCCCACTCTTTATTTCATACCAGCTTCTTTTTAAACCCACTGTGGATTGCGCACGTCAAGCGGATCCCAGGAGCCACACGTGGCTGGAGGCTGCCACACTGGACACAATTCTGCGTGGAAGCCACAGATGTGAATAACTGCCAGCCAGCACATTCCTAAATGGTAGACTTTATTCATTTTTACCAATGAAAATACTCCCAAGGAAATCCAGTGGGACACGAGAAATTAAGTTAAGCTCGAGATCCCAAATGTTGGAATCAGCAGGAGACTCATTCACGACAGATCCCAACAGGGGCTCAGGACCTTTAGACACAGCTTCTTCTGACATGTAAGACCTGGAAGGAATTTGTCCTGACCACTGACCCAGCATTGCCCCAATCACTGTGGGATGCACAGCGTGTGGGCTAAGCAAGTGATCTGGTGGGTCTCCGTCCATGCCACCAGTGCGGGTCTTCAGGACTGGGGGTGAAATGACCTCAGTGGGAGGCCCACTGAATGTGGTTAGTGACTGTGTATAGAGGGTGGACTAGTCCTTTCTTACATTGAGGAGCAGTGTAGAAAGTCTAACTGTTCGATTGTGTTCCACTCACCACTGAAGACAGTCTGCCATCTGTATATAGTCTTGGTACTGGAAGCCCATTGAAAAAGCCAAACCTTGAGGAAAAATAATAGAACCAGCATGTTTCTGTCAGTGGTGATGTGATGGGCCGCCAACCACAAAGTTAGCAGTTTGAAACCACCTTCCGCTCCACAGGACGAAGTCGAGGCTTTCTGCTGCCATAAATGGCTACAGTCTCAGAAACCTGCAGAGGCGACCGACCCTGCCCTGTCCTGTAGGGTGTCACCAGGAGTCGAAATCGACTCAGTGACATTGAGTTTGGTGTTTTTAAAACTATGATTAAAAGAGGGGGGCGAAATACCTACTCTTCTGACCTTTAAGGAAGCGAGTTGAAAGTTTTCCTTTCTGCATTAGAAATCTGTCTCAGAGACGATATAATGTGGCAGAAGTGATCTGTCCAATAGGACCCTTTCTCCTTCCTGCCCCTCCCCATCAGAAACTAATCAAAAACCGAAAACCAGGGCTGGTGACCTGGAGCTGCGAACATTATTAGCAATCCTTCCCCAGCAGGCTCTGCACGGGCTTCGTTTTCTCTCCTCCCTCTCACCCGCCCTGGTGTCCGAATTCATCGTCCCCAGCCTTGTCTGAGTCTAGGCCAGCGGCAGCAGCCCGATAGAAACGTTTCCACTTTGGGTGGCGAATGGTCAGTTTTAAGATGGGGACACCCCTTCCTGGGTGGACTTGGCCGGGTCTGCATCCTGGGACGGGGTGCATGTGAGCCAGGCTGCTACACGCTTTCCTCCCGGGTAGCTCACCCGCCAAAAAAAGATGGGGAGGAAAGAAACTTGTCTTTTGCCAAAGAGTCTTAAAAATGTGTTTCAAACCCTGCCACCGTGTCTGAGGCCAGCATCATAGGGAGAGCCCGCGGTGCTTCTAAGTGCCGGGTCAGAGGAGCGCAGATATCCCCCAAACCAGGGCCTGAAAACTCCCCCAAGCTGAGCCTGCCACTCCCATGATCTAAGTGCCTGCTGTCATTGAAATTCCCAAATCACAATTCCAAGTGAATCTAGGCCATGTGGTTGGGGAGGGGAGCGGGTGGGCGGGGGTAGCTCCCTGGAGGGGGTGGGCAGGGAAGAGTTGGCCAGTGTGATCCGAAAGTTGAAAATTATCCTCATGCTTGCCTGCTTGCCACCCGCCTGTGTGAGCATGTGCACGCTTCCTTCTAGTTGAACCCCCGGCACAGAGTAATTGACGCCCCTGCTAGACCCCTGCCCTCCAGCCCCCTGCAATGGTTCCTGTCTGTTTTAACCTGTAGGAAGAAGGAGGATTTACAGATGATAATTCCGTTTCTAATCTGCTTTGGGTAAGCCTGACTCTACCCGAGGTGCGGTGCACTTTAAGGCTGGAGTTTATCCCTCGCCCGCTTCAGTTCTATCTTCCGTGGCTCCCGGGTTGGCTGGCTTTCCGGAGGCGCGAGGCCACCAGTATGCAGGTGGAAGGTCGATCTGGTCCTTGATTTTTTTTTTTTTTTTTATGTTGAAACTGCCCAGGAAAGCCATGACCTCCCACGGAGCAGCTGAGTAGCATATATCAATGGTAGTCCCATCTGGTGGTCCCCTGGTTTATTCTGCCCCAGACTGGCCAGGTGTACTTCACTGTGCATGTGTGACTTGGTGGGGGTAGTATGACTTTAAAAACAAAGCAGACAAATAGAAAGGGTTTTCTTGGAAAGAAAAGTGAAATTGCAGTGAGTACATTAACATGTAAGGGGTCCTGGGCACACAGTGATTAAATGTTCACCTACTCACCCCAAGGTTGGCAGTTTGGAGACCTGCTTTTGTGATGATTCCAGCCCTGGACGCCACTGGGGCTCTTTTCCACTGTCCCACGGGGTTCCCATTAGTCAGAATCGCCCAGTGGTAGTGGATTTGTTTTCCTCTTTTTCTTTCTATTTTTAAATTAACGTTGTGTTAGAAAAAGAAGCCTGGTGTTTGCCTCTCCCCGCCCCACTCTGGTATATCTCTCCTCTTTTCACCTCTAATCCTCTTGCTTTGCTCTATAGGAACCTGTGTATGCTTCTACTTATTCTCCTGCTATTCCTGCTGCCCATAAACACCTGTCTTTTGTCTCTATTAATCAGGTGAGGAAAAGCCTGCATTGGTGAGCCTCACTGCAATTTCTTAGCTGTCGGGAAGCACTTTTCTTTCCTTTGAGAAAGAAACCTTTCTGCATCTCACTGTGTGAATGTGTGGGAGAGAGTTAAGTGTGTGTGCGCGCGCGAGTGAGCGTGTGTAAGACACACACAGAGAGAGAGAGCGAGAGAGAGAGCGGCAAGAGCGAGCATAGTCCAGTCCTGAGACTGGTCGGCGTGAGGCACACATACCCTATCCTCAGCTCAGACTTTTAGGTAGCCCTGATCATGTTCCTGAGACAAGTTTAAGAAAATTTCCCCTTTCAATCTCTGCACTTTGTATCCTAAGGGAAGCCACAAACAAAAACAAGTTGCTGACGAATCGGTTCCAACTCAGGGGGACATTGTGTGGTCAGAAAAAGTCTGCTCCGTAGCGTTTCCACAAGGCCCACATCTACCCCAGAGTGCCTCTGACGGAAAGCCTGGTGGCCAACTGCCCCCCACATTGGCCATGGAGCCTAGTTGAGTTGTACTCTGTCCACTCGGGTCGCCGTCAGAGTCGGCTCGATGCCAACAGGTCAGGGTGCTTCTACCTGGAAAATGACCTCATGCTTTGACTTCTGCTGTGGGATCCGTGGTTAGTAAAAGTGACCTTGGACTGAGAGGCTTGGGGCTTCTGATACTAGATCAGCAGGCTGTGGGCAGAAGAGGGTTGGTGGGTGCTGTTCACCCTCCTCTGTCGTAAGCAGAAGCTCCCCTTCTTCTCCCTCACTCTCCTGGTGTCTCTCCTGAGCAGTGGGACACACTGGCTTGGGACACACTAACCACACTTGGCACACACCCAAACAGTTCCACCACCACCTCCTCCCCCACAAGGAGGGTAGTGGGCCCTGGGCAAACTTGCTGCTCCTTCACTAATGGAGGAAATGAGCCAGTTGTTGATAAGCCAATTCCAAACCTCAAAGAAAAAGATCTATTGCTGGTGAGGCTTTTAACTATTTATTGTTTAAGGTGAAACAGAAAAGGCCACTTGCCAGCTGCCACCTGTGTTTTATTACTTTAAATTTTCAGTGATTTTCCCTTCGTTTAAAAAAAAAACCACTTTATATTTTTGTTACTTGGCTGTTTTCACATGTAAATTTCCTCCATGCCAGTTACATACACAGCAGCCACGCATCCATGTCCCGTGAGGTCAAGAAACAACTTCCCTTCCCTCCAGTCATTTGCCCAGAACCGGCAAGCAAGCTCCTTCTAGATGTTCAAGCTCTCCGTCTCCGAGGCTCCGACGGGCATCTTCTTCCTTGTATGACTCGTACCAGAAAGGCTCTTCCCTTCATTCAGCTAGGAGCTGCATGGGCGTGGCGGCCCGGGCCAGGGTGGGCACCCAGCAGTGTGTTCTTCTTGGCAGCTCTTGGGCCACCTACCTTGTGCTGCGGGCCTTGGGGCCGGACGCCATTGGAGTCTGGAGAAAGAACGTCCTCCCACTGATCGAGCATAGAATTCCAAGGGGGGGGGGGGACGCTTTTTGGGATACTGACAAGTTCTAATTTGCCCTTGTGCCTCGTGACGCGCACAGTGCCCGAATGCCCTCCTCGGAGTTAGTGTGGGTAGGTCCCAGTCTTAAAGCCAGCCTGGCATCCGGGTAGGGAAGGGCTTTCCCCCTAAGTCTTAGTCAGTACAAGTTCTCTGCCCTTTCTTGTTGCCCCGTGGTCCTTTGTCACACACAGGAAGTGACAGCAGGTGTTGTGATGACACAGGAGACTTGGGGAGAGGCAGGCAAGCCACACACACACACACACACACACACACACACTGTCCCTCACAGTGACACACACACACAGTGCCATGCACACAGTCACACACACCCTACCATACACACTGTCACATATATATTGCCATGTACACACACATACCCACACCTTGTCCCTCACACATGTACACGCGCACTCCCACTGACCCTCAGGCGCACAGTCACACACATGTAGGCACACCCACACAGTCCCCCTCTCTCTATCACATGCACGAGGTCTATGTATGAAAGGATTGGAGATGGGCCGGGGAGGGCTTGTGTTCATCTTCTCTCCACACTGGCTCTTTCCACCCCCCTCTGCATCCTGAGCAGCAGCATCTAAACCTGGGCAGTGACACGATACTTAGCACAATAAAAAATGTTTACAAAACTCCCCGCCATTGAGTCAATGCCGAGTCATCATGACCCTCTAGGACAGGGTAGGGGCACACCGCCCCTGGGAGTTCCCGAGACTGTAAGTCTTGATGGGGGTGGAGTAGGAACCCCGTCTTTCTCCCCAGGAGCGGCTGGTGGTTTCAAACTGCTGACCTTGTAGATCACGGCCCAGTGTGTAATCATTATGCCACTCGGCCGCCTTAAGGAGGAAAGAAAAACATAGAATGGGGAAAAAAATCAAGTGGAGAATGATGCCCATCTTATTGGTTTTTATCTTTTGGATTCTGAAATCAAATGGCAACTGTGAAAAACCCTTAGATTCTTTCCAGAGCAAACTGTATATTCCTTACCCAATTAGAGAGCCATAAGTCACGTAGTGGCATTTTAGGGACTCAAGGAGCCCGCCGGATAGCACTTTGGGCTGTTAACTCTCAGGCTAGCAGTTCAAGCCCATGAGCTGCACTGTAGAAGGTGAGGCTTTCTGCTTGCATAAAGATTTTCCCAGCCTCAAAAACGCATAGGGGTTGCGATGCATTTGAGTGGACTTGTTGGGAGTGAATTTGGTTTTGTAAAACCCCAGGAGCATTGGCAATGCCGTAAGCTAAGGGTTTGGCTGCTGAATGCAAGGTCAGTGGTTCAAACACACCCGCCACTCCTCCGGAGAAAGATAAAGCAGGCTGCCCTATAAAGAATCACAGTCATCCTTAGAAACCTCTGGAGTCGTTCTGCCCTGTCTCCTCGGGCCACTGTGAATTGCAATCAGTTCGATGGCAAAGGTTTGGTTTTTGACTTTCCATCCCCAGGGGGACCTGGTGGTGCTGTGTGTTGGGCATTTGGCTACTAACCATGGGTCACCAGTTAGGACCCACCTGCTGCTCCACTGGGTGACGGCCCCCATAGAGATTTATAGGCTTGGACACACTGTGGGGTAATAGCTCGCTCTGTTCTATAGAATCACTATGAGTCAGAGTCAAGGCTGCAGCAACGGGTTTGATTTTATGGGTCTTAATCCAGCCCTACTAACCCACAAAATTAAGAAGAAACTTGTAGGAAACCAACATTTTGGTTTAAAATTTCCTTTTCAGAAAAGCAACACCAAAAAACATATTCCTTCTCTTGGGTTCAATTGTGTCTCTTACAAGGAGAAGTATTCCTTCCCGACACAGACCTGGCAAACGAAGGAAAACTTTAAATCCTGAGACCTGAGGTGTCATCCACCCAGGCCTCAGAGTGATCGCATTCCGGCAGGCAGGAGCCTCAGGGAGATCGGGAAGGAAATTTCCAACCCGGTGCCTCCTCCTTCTGAGGCATGAGCACACCGGGCCCACCCTGCACAGGGGACGTGACTGAGTTCACCCGCAGGTCTGCGGCTCTCTGGACCTCGGGAGAGCCGACATTCTTGGCCCTGTATGTGTTTCTGGAAAAAGTTTAAGCCGAGTGCCTTATTGGTATGATTAAAATCCTCTTGTGAGCCGGTCTTTTTAAGAGATCGCATTCTCCCGAATGCTGATGGGGTGGGCCTGGCAGTCAGCCTCCTAGTTTAATAAGGGCGGGTGCTCAGGAGGCTCTGAACAGTCGCTCACCCTCTAGCCAGCCTCTTGCCTCTTTTCCCCTCTCCTTCCTTTCCCTGCCTTTCTCCTCCTTCCCCCTCTCATTTATCTCTTCTTCCTCTCCCTTTCTCATGCCAGCTCCCTCGTCATATATGTGTGTGTGTGTGTGTATTATATATACATAAACAAAAGTTCATGGGATAATGAATTAAAAGATAATGGAATTTTCCACAAACTCTCTGAATCCCTGGTGTGCGTGTGCGTGTGCGTGTGCGTGTGCGTGTGCGTGTGCGTGTGTGTGTGTGTGTGTGTGACAGCCAGGGTCGGGAGCACCTCTTGCTCCCTGGAGGAGCCTCCCCTCCTTCCTCAGTGTTCTTCCCTCTGCTGGGGCACAGCCTGGCTGGCCCCTGCCCTTTGCCCTGCCCACCCACTCTCTGCTGCAGGAGGAGGGAACGCAAATGCCTCTCCTGCCAGCACTTCTGAGCGTGCCGCCCTGGTGGTGTCGTGGTTACAGATGGGGCTGCTAACCACAAGAGCAGCAGTTCAAATCCACCAGCGTTTTCTTGGAAACGCACAGGGGCAGCTCTGCCTGGTTTCACGGGGACCCTGGGAGTCGGTGTTGACTCAATGGCAGTGTGTCCACACTCTTTCCTTAAGAGCCACCTGACCCTCCAACCCAAGGGTGTGAGCCCCTTCCTCTGCCCCCCTTAAGGCTTCCCTTCCTCTCACCCTCACCCCGCCCCCACCTGAGCCCCTCCTCCATTCCTGGTCCCTCTTTCCACAAGGAGGCCCTGCTGCTGCCTCTCCCTCGGCAGCACCCCAACAAAAGCTGGGGGAACGCCACCAGTGCCTTCGAGCTCACAGAGGTAGCGGCTGCCAGAACCCGGCGAAACGCTAATGGCAAAAGGCATTTTTTTAGGTGGCGACACACACATACACACATGCACGTGTGCTGTATCTATCATTTAAAGAGCCCTGGTGGTACCATCAGGTAAGCATTAGATTCCTAGCTGCAGAATCCATGGTTCAAGCTGACCGGCTGCTCCACAGGAGACAGATGAAGCTCTCTGCTCTTGGAAAGCGTCGCAGCCCCAGGAACCTGCCTTGCGGGTTGCTGGCAGTCGGGATGGATTTAATGGCAGGGTCTTTCAGTGTTAGCTTTTGTATTATATAAAGCACACCCATGACAGCAGGATATATATACAGCAAATGTGTATTTACATGTATGTGTGTGTATAACACATGAGAGGCTTCAAAACGTTCATGGAAAAACGGGATTGAAAGATGATGGAATTTTTCTACAACCTTTTGAAACCCCCTCAAATACATATATGTACTGTGTATGCCAATATAAAACATACACACACAGATATGGGGACTTTGAGAAGTTTGTGGGGCAAAAACCACTAGCTCGTCATTCTATTTCTTCACAACGTTTTTGAAGCCTCCTCCTGCATACAGGCTTGTTGTTGGTGGTGGTGGTGGTGGTAGTTTTCTGTCAATGGCACAATTTTTGGCTCAGCCTCAGCTATATTCTGGCTTCCATGTACTTACCCCAGGCTGACACGGGGGCCTCGCTGCTGCCCACTTCTAGTACCTTCCAGTAGCTCACCTGCCTCTCCGGAGGCTTTCCCTACTGAATACTGAGCCTGCGCCCTAGGCGCTCACCTGGGGGGAGGCTCCTCCATTGACCATATGACTTGTGAGCAGTGCCTGTGGATGAAATCTGCTCATCAGCCCAGTTCAGCAGACAGGTGACACGGAGTCCCCTGCGAGCCCTGCCCTACAGGCTTCCCGGCGGCATCGGACCAGCTTTCCATGCGGGCTCCGTTCCTGCCTCCACGCAGCATTCTGGTCTTCCACAAACACGCGAGGAGGACCAGCGTTTGGCCTTGAGATTCAGTGCTGTTTCGGGTGCTCCCTGCCCCAGGCTGGACACCCCCATCTCAGAGACCGTTTCGGAGAGAACACTTTGGGACATTTGTGGGGAAACTCCTGTAGCTGTTTTTTTTTTTGCCCATGCAACATCACAGGCTTAAAACTCACGTCCCGGTCCTTTCTCCCCCCTGCTTCCCCATCCCTACCCCCACCCCCGGGTGCGCTTGGTGAGCAGCGGGTCACCGACAGCCGAGAGAGCCAGATGAGCATCGAGGAGCGGAAGCAGCTCATCACGGTGCGAGAGGAAGCCTGGAAGACGAAGGGCAAAGGAGCCGCCAACGACTCCACGCAGTTCACGGTGGCCGGGAGGATGGTGAAGAAAGGTCAGTG